GGGGGGGGCAACGCGCTGCCTCGCTCGCTCCGCTCCTGCCGCAGCGCCTGGCGGCCCCGCCGCCCCCACCACCGCAGGGGGCCCAACTGCACGAGGTGCGCCCGGTGAGTAGGCCACCCGTCCTGACCATCTCTCCTGTCACACAGCAGCAGCAGCTATCGACAACCGATAGTCGGATTGGACAAACGTCACTGAGCAAGGCAAAATGAAATTATGTTCAATAATTTATTGAAAATCTTTCAAAATTCTCCTATTTCATGCATTAAGGCACACTAATGTGCATTAATAACACACACTAAAGAACACATTACAATCACTACCTTAGCACACTATAAGCGTAGACACAGACTGCAGGACAAAGTTGGGACTTTAAATAAATCACTAGTCAATATTGAACTTAGAAGACAAATGGCAATGTTACACCAAGCTTATTACTAAATAGTCACTTTTGTTTCATAGTAATTCATTGTACTTTTCTCTCAGACAAGGAACCTGTCAACACACATGTTACATGTTCAGTGACAAGTAAGATTGCAGTCACTATTTACATTAACACAATCTAGCAACTTTTTGGTGAGCAAGAAGGATTGTTGGGTGATGTTAAACTTAAAATGTGCATTTTGAAGAGGATAAACCGAAATGCACAAGTTGACACCAACAAATAACACTGTCCATTACTAATCAAACCTTTAAAAATATCAATAAAAACTTTAGAAAAGGAGAATTTGTTCAGAATTCACATACTTTGGAAACATTAAAATTTAAAACATCAATTGACAAACTAAATTGACAACGGCAGGGCACAACCACATTAGATGCAACACTTCACCCACTGTTGCTCATTAATAGCATCCTAGGGTCAAAAGGCACATGGTCAATACATTATCACATCTTGAAACTTAGTCTTACATACAATGGTACAACAGGATAATAGAATTAAAGTGAAACCCCATATGAAAGTAAACACATCATACTGTATTTTTTAAAATCATTCAAAACATCTATTTGTGAAAAATTAGTCCTCCGAAATCTAGATAAAAATCATTAATCAACAAAGTTTTAGTCAAATCTGAAGATGTCAAGATAAACAATAATAAAACATAAGAATTGGCTGCTCCATTTATGTCAATTTTAAGTTAAGCTCGGCGCCATGGACCACAATACATGTTTTAATTATATAACTTCATTGAGAATGAACATGTGTCAAAAAGTATAACAACTTCATAAAACCTACCTACTTTCCTTACTTAATAGACCTAGTCTTTAATAGCTTGAAACAGCATTCGAGGCTGCTTCAAAAAATTACATTACAAAGTGTAATTTTTTTTCCCCTTTTTCTTACTTTTGATGTCCATTATGAGCACATGGACTCAAGTTGTTTCAAGCATGACTGAATGTCTTCACTGTCCACAACGAATCCCTCCAGTCTGCAAAAATATAATTAAGAAATCAATTGAGTCATACTTAATTGAGTGCAAAGAGCAATATTTGTGCCAAGGCTGGACAAAGTCTTACCTCTCCTTGAGTGTTTGGGCTTGATCTGGATTCCAAAGTCCTTTCTTAAGAGCTGTCATACACTGACTTGCAAGAGATTTAAAGCATTGCTTGCGAGCAGCATTGTGGGGTGGGTTATCCCACAGTGGTGTTGCTCGAACATAAGCCCAAGCCAGAATAACATAATCAATTACAGCATCCCAGTGCTGAGAGTCAAGCAGAGTCCTACCTTGTTCCAGTACACATTTCTGTAATAAAACAACAGAAATTGTAAAACATTTCTAAATCTGCTGACGTCAGCCAATACAAATACTAACCTTGAAGGCTGTCACATGAGTAGCTGCTCTGCTGTAAGCCGGTGAATCAGTCTTGGATGTCAATCTGGAATTTGGCAAGGACTTGAAAATATTTTTCTTCAGGTAGTTTAGTTGATCTTCCAGAGGTCTCAGGTCTGGTGCAGGTAAAGACCCTAAAATTTCCTGCATGATGTAGAGTTTCAAAGGGGTAAAAAATAATCAGTGAGATGGACTTGCACAGTTTGATAAATAAAGAACTTCACTAGCTTTCAGAGTGCCAAATCTGTTGACCTACGTTTTCCAAAGCAGGATGAATATCAACCAGATTTTTAATAACTTCAATAAGCTGCTCTTGGGACAAGCCCTTTAAACCCGCAAGCAGGGGGCCTGAATAGCTCCTTAAGCCAGTTCTCTCAATACGAGTCTTTTTGGCATTTGGTGAAGCAGCTGCCTATACACAAAAAGTGAAGGGCAAAGATTACATAAAACTACTTTAAAGATAGTAATTCACAGATAAATTAAAAAAAAAAAAAAAAACTTGCGGCACCACTTACCCTAGTATTTAACTTGACAGGTGAACAGATCATCTCTTTAGGGTCAGTGAGCATGAGCCTTTTCCTGGGAGTGCTTCGGCGAACAGGAGCGTTTTTGAGGGGACTGTTAGGGCCAGGGCCTTTCACTGGTGTGCAGTCACGTCTTGTTTGTCCTGGGAGAGGAGATTTGTTGGATAACTAACAAAGTGATAGTCACTGAAAGAAACACAATTGACAATAGCTATAACTCACCATCTTTTTTGGCATCAATGTCAGGGCTCCATGTTGCTGGGACACTACGCCTCCCACGCTGTTGGATTACTAACTCATCTGGAGATGGTGAAGGGCTTATGTAGGAAGATGGCAGGTTAAAATTGTTCATATTCACATTCCATAGGCCCCCATGAAAAAAGCGCGCATGTAGTGGTGTAGTTAACGGATCACCTAAAGCCAAATTAAAACATAATTAAAGTCAAAATATGATAATAAATTCTTCCAAAACAACCAAAGAATTGATATGATACAAACCAACAATAGTTGTCGCTTCATCAGTGACGGTGAGCATCCCAAGCCTAGCTGGGATTTCAGATAGAGCGCTTCTGGTATGCCGCCTTCCTGGATTGGGATTCTCATGAGGGGGAGTCTCCATGGTTTAAAGGACCAAACCTCCCGACCTATGACATGGGCATGAACACAAACAATACACATAAAGGGATAAATGTGAATACAAGAAAAATGAGCACAAAAGTAATTACATTACAACAACCATGCACACAAGAAAGAACGGTCAAATATTTAGAGTGAAAGTTCAACTGCCAAAGTGACGTACATAGAGTGACGCTCCCGAACCGAAACTGCAAGCTTAACGGCTTTAGAGGCGTCCTCAGTTTTCTTGAACTAATAAACGACGAGTAGCACTGATGCGAATAATTCTTACAAAAATTCCATCGCTAATCTAGGTAGAGCATACGCAAACGAAACCGAAATGCTTCCTGTTAAATTAACACGTAGGCGAGATGCAATGTAATCCTTTCCCGCCGAAAGAATGCATTTACGCCGGCTAACCTCACCCAACGATCAGATTTGGGCATCACGAGAATTACTCGTTTGGAAAGAAGCTCTTTTCTTAGAAATTAAATACAGAACCGGTCTGCAATTAAATGACATTAAAATACATACCATGAATGTCCAGCGACGGTCAAACGCCAAAGACACAGGTCTTGGGTTCGGATTGGAAGATGTGCTTTAAATCAACAGCTGGCTGTTGTGGAGCGGCGGTTGTTGCCAGAAAGCTTTGGCGGCAAAGGCGTGCTGACCGATTGGTTGCCTCTCTCCCCACTCTTTGTCTTTGTTTGGCTTCATATCTCTATCTCTCTTGCACTTATGGGTCAACATGTTGTCGTTTCCTTTCAGTAGGCCGTTCCTTTCTTAAAGGCCGAGGTTTCTGCGCGAAATTTAAACATGCATCGGCCGATTTCTTTGAAGTCGAAATCAAATAATAATTGATTCGTTAATAATTATGATTTCGTTATAACCACTTCATAGAGTGTGTTTTGGTTTCTGAGCTGAAAGGGGGCTTGAACGAAAGAGTTCAAGAAGGGGGTGTCCAAATTACACTATTCTGTGCAATACCCGTTCTAGCACCTCCTTTAGATGGGAGAGGAGGATGGAGGTAAAGAATGAGTAAAAATTACTGTTGTCAAGGTAGAAATTGTGGAGTATAATGATAGTAAATATAAACACAGATAGATCAATCTGACTTTATTTTTACATATTTTAATCCTTAAATTTAACACCACATGAAAAAATTGCAACCTTTAGAAAGCATGCCTAGAGATCTTCTTTGGTTTGGGCAAGTAAAGAAACTACGGCCTTGATTAGGTCCAGGTGAGTTGGCTACCTTACATGCAGCTCTCCGCCCACAACGACAGAGAGGTGGGGTGCGCTTGCAGCTTACTGGCTTATTAATACTCTGCCGCTTGGGAGTACAAACATTAGTTGCAGAAGCCAACTTAGTTACATTTTTTGGAGTATCAGACGTCATAACTTTCTTTGCAGCACATGAATCTTTTTCATCATTGTAAATACCCTCCACTGTGTTGCCTAATCTACATTTATTATTATTTCTTAAAGAGTTTGTAGCATGTAATCCACTTCTAAGTGTTCGGGTTTTCAAAGACTGAGGTTCTCTACTTAATGGGGTTGAGGTGTTTTTTAAATTTCCTAGAGGGCACCTCTTCAGATTTATCTGGGGAGAAATAATTGTTGTTGGTTTTATTTGAATATAGACATAGTGTAAAATTTATTATTAAGTCATAACACCAATTCTTGTTTTAGTTTTAGTCTTACCTGAGGGGATGAAATTTCTGAAGAGCTGGTAATTGAAAGCACATACCCATCTTTTATCATACGGGATACAAGTTTGGCAGTGTTTTGGGCATCAATTATACCAGAGTGCTCTCTGCCAGTAAATTGCACACCAACTTCTGCCAAAGCACCTTTAAGTCCTTGAGGTTTTCTTTGATAAAATTTCTACAGAGCCAAAATAGATTACATTAGTTTTGGACCGGGCTGTGCAAAAAAATCTTTGAGCACTGGATTCAAAATTTTACCCGATATGCTAGACGCAAATCAATCCATTGAGAGAGCACGTCAGGTTTGCGTATTTGTTTCCTTTTAGTTTCATTTTGAAGGCACATGGCAATATCCCAATCTATTCAAGGATATTAAAATTTAGATAGCATAAAAAGTAACTCACTCCACACTTCTAGCACATTCAAGATGGAACTCCAATGTAGAAATCTACGCTACCCATCATCTGTCACCCATCACCCATCACTTGCGATTTCATGTATTTACATCACAAAATACAATCATAAGGTGTATAGTTATATATATTGTTCACACACATTCTAAGTCTTAACCACAACCCGAGTTGTACGCGTAAATACATGATATCCCAAGTGATGGGTGACGTGTGATGGGTAGCGTAGATTACTCCAATGGCGTTCCACCCTTACTGAAACATAGAAGTGCAGTATTCTCAATGTCTCACCTGACCAAGTAACAAATGTGCATGTTTTAGTCTTATCAGATGGTTTGTGGAACGAAATATTTTTTTCTGTAGATATTTTGCTTATCCACCGATTAAAAAGCATCAAGCATGTACCAAGGGGTATACCAGCATTCACAACCTCTTGCTTTATACCTATTTTCATTTAGAAAATAAAAATAAAAAATGAAGCAAATAGACCACTGATGGAATATACTTTTTAAAGAAAACACTTCACACAAGAAATTTTCAGACTGACTAACCTGTTAATTTTACGCAAAACTCTGACAGAGTTGGATTCTCTACAGGCATTACATAATGATGAAACTGTTCTTCAATAATGCCCGTTTTGACATTAAGTAACACAGCAGGAAATTCAATGATTTCTGCTAGATTCTGCCACTTACTCTGATTATCTTTGTTGTCCCAACATGTTGATTCAAAATCAATTACTATCACATAGTCGAATATCTGATCGTTACCTGTTCAAATAGCAAATTGTTTAGGATGAAAGAAATTCTTTTAGATCTAGAAGATCATTTGAAAAATATACTAACCAGTTTGTAATGCCCCACATTTTGCAGATTTAATGGAATTTATTTGACCAACAATGAAAGTTTCAACTAGACCCAATTCTCTGTAAATGAATAATTAGTTAAATTCCAGAATCAATCAATTTTGCTGTAATCTTCTTAAAACAAAACCTACAGTCTTTGAACTGCAACTAGTTTCTACCTTTACCTTGCCAATTCAAATACCTCCTCCATTTCAGCATCACTTATAAAGTATTGAATGAAAGACAATTACAGTTTCATTGTTTTTCGAAATGGCATAATATTTTTTCAAATTTAAATTTCACTTGCAATAATTTGATTTGATTAACTGCCCCATACCCCATACTTTCGTTCTAGGTTATGTTTATGTTTTGGTTATCCGTATGACTTCGATAGGTCGACTTCTGTTGTTGAAAAGTAGCCTCGGTGTAAGGTCCTCAAGCTCCCACTGCCCTACCGAATGTTGGCCGCCGCCGCCGCCGCATTTCAATTTTATTTTGCGATTTCAATTCAAAATCAAAATTCTTTGGATTGTAAATACAGCAAAAATATAGTGTATGTTTATATTTTTATGCGAATGATATAGTTTCTCACTCCTTATTGCTACTGAGAGTGTTTTAGACCGGATTGAATGTGAATATTTTTCCCATCGAAAGGAGTAACATGGAACAAGACTCAAGTTCTTACCCACACAGCTTATCAAAGTATGAGCCAAATAGCTATTTGATACAAGAAGCAGTAGTTTTGATAATTCACCTGCTGTTAGTTCAACATTGGGCTAGCAGTTTGTGTTGTCACCTGTTTTTGAAAACTTAATTGCAATTAATTACAACTTAGTAGGCTACTTCCAGTCTTTAATTGCAATTAATTACAACGTAGTAGGCTACTTCCAGTCTTTAAGTCTGAAATTAAATATTCTAAATGTCATGTTCTCTTCTTCAGTTTGATTTATTTATTGGAGTCACTCTTGGCTGCCACTCAACAAGCCAAGGCTGGAGTCGAGTCCCATTTGCATGAAGCTCAAAGTCTCCTTGGTGGATGGGAGCTACCGAATAATGAAGTTATATCCACCTCACAATCATGTCTATGTGCAGAGACTCAAAAGCAACAGCTGGCAGCTTTCCTCGACAAGGTAGATAAAGCGGTGAAGTATTCACAAAGCATTCGGGAAGGTAGAAATGATGTGAAAAACCCATGGATGGAAGATACGGCTATTAATACTCGTGAGAAAGATGTGAAAAGGGTAAGTGCCTATATTTTATTTCCTGTTGCAGTGCAACTTCTTTGTTTTTTCCTGTGGTTTTTCTTGCTCTTTCTTGTTTGTTGTGTTTTGGACGCTATGATAATACTTGGGGTGGATCAAAATCTGGAACCTATAACAAAGAACAAACTGATGCTTATAACTTTTTTACTTGTAATCACAATCACTTGGATTTCTTACAGATAAACTCATCAAGAGAGACTCCACCTCAAAAAAGTGGAATGGGACACATTAAAGAAAGGTTTCTCAAAGGGAGATTAGCCAATGGTCCATCAAAAAGGCCCAGCTTTAATAATTTAGGCAGTGAAAGTAGGGTATGTGATTATTAATGTTCAGTTTTACTCTTCATTGATTCCAGTCTTATATAGTTACCTCTATGGATAATAATGATGTCCTTTTTTACTCGTTCTTTACCACCAACTTCGGCTACCTTGTTTTAGGATGAACAACTATTGTTCTTGGTGTGATGTGCTGTGTTGTAACACTCCTTCAATTCAGAATATAGTACAACAACAACAAACTTGTCTATTGTTCACCTTAAAATGCAATATTAGGACAAAAATGGAACTGTTTTTCAGTTATGTAGGTAAAATTAAGAAAATCCTTAACAAAATTCTGCTTGCTTTCATTTTGAGTTCTTAACCCTGCATGAAAGAAATATAGTAATAGAAATAGAGAATGAGTAGAACTGTGTTTCTTACCTTATTTCAAACACAGTCTTCTCACAAATCGTGCCTACTAATTTTGTTGTCTTTGTGTAAGAATTATTTTGAAAACACTAAACAATTTTTTTAATTTTTTTTTTTTATCTAAGTCACCTGTGCTTTGGTCAATTGTATTTGTTGTTTTCCAATAACTCCTTCTAGTAGTTCTATTTCTGAGATGAAAACAGTTACATTCAGTTCCACAAATTTTCATTAAGCTGGTGATGAAGAACGAGCATACTCTTAAGCTCAAAACTAATTTTGTGTTTCATATCTCCCTTTTTTTGTTTTTTATTGCAGACAAGTGTTGAAAATGAACATAGTCCTCATTGTCCACTGCATAGTGGCAGCCTTCCTGAATTTTCCCCAAAATCAAAGAACATCAACACTGTTGGTCTTGCAGAGGCTCTTGATGTAAAAGGTATTCCCCCAGAATTAGTAACTGTTCTTAAATCAGTTCACCAATACATCAACAGACTGCGAACAACAACACTCAAAAATCGGTCAGAGTCTTCTTTTTTGAGACATCTTAATGCTGTGGTAATTATCTAATCTCTCATTAATACAGAATCTTATTTAATTTTTGTAAGTTTCTCTTTTATTAAGTAAAGTTTTTCCCTGTTCATAGAATGAGAAAAGATGGGAAAAGTTCCCATGCAATGGGCTCATCAGTGGTCTCCAAGCTGTAACGTCCAAGGGATGCCACAGAAGGTTGCCTATGTTTGAGGAGGACCAAGATACATCACAAAGTTCTTCCAAGCTAGAAAACAGTCTTCCATACCTTGGAATCTGGAACCGTGCAGTCTGTAATATGTTGTCAGGTAAGGACCATCCATGCATATATTTGAAAGGGTCTGGTAGAGAGAAAAGAGAAGAATATTTTGGTCAATTTTTAAATCACACAACCTTTTTTTTCTCCCTTAAAGCAGAAATTATATGCCATAAGTTGCCTACTTTGTACTTACTCACAATTTTCCTTCTTTTTCTTTCAAGTCAGTGCACTCTGTGTGCAGTACCAGAATGAAGACATTTGGAATTTACTACAATCTAGAATGCAACTGCTTCAATTATCTCAAGCAGAATGGCAAGTCTGTAACATTTTGAATTTTAATCCTTTGCTTAGCAATCCAGAATTGGATTATCAAGCTGCACCTTTGTTTTTAAAGGCTGCAACAGCTTTGTGTCGTCTTACCTCTCTTAACTTGCCAGTTTTGGTGAAAACATATCATAGCTAGTGATTATAATGACATGTTTTGTGTCTCCCCTGTTCTTCAGAGTGCATAACCTGTGATTGTTATCAATATTATAGTCAATTTATTTTTTAAAGTGTGTTTTTTCTTTATGTGAGAGTATATGTTGGTGTTAAACATTTAGCAGTTTTCATGACTCCTTGTTTTGTGTGAAATGAAGTTTTTATTTAATACGTAAGTAAAACCGTTTTGTCAAATTCAGATAAAAGGTATTTAATCATTCCATTGAGAGCTTTTATCACATGTTTATTTTCAAAAAAACAGTATGGTTTATACTCTGTTAGTTGAATTATGTTTCCTGTCGGAAAAACAAAAACAAACAAACAAACAGCTCATCTTCATTCTGTGCAAGTTTTTACAGGGGGAAGGTTATTTTCAAGATTAGTAATAGGCGGTTTTCTCTGCCATTTATCTTAATTTACTGCATTTCCAGTTTTATGTTTAAATTTTTGGAAGAGCTTTCTGAATTACTTAATTTGAAGAAATGCTTGATCTCCAAAACAGCGGTTAGGAAACAACTGTCATTATTATTTTCTCTTCTGTTGAGCATTACCAGTTTCCTAACAAATTTCTTATTGAACTTGATCTCACCTATAACTAACCTCTCACCTATAACTTTAAAAATTATTGCTCTTTTAGGAAATTCAAATGTAACCTTTATTCAGATCCATCTGCGTAAATCAGCAGGTCTTGGCAGTTGTAATGCTGTTGTTTTAATATTTTTTAAATTATTATTTTTAAATTCCGTAATGAAGAAATATGACAAGACAATGAAAATTATGTCAGTGGAGTGACTTGTTAGAACTCTCATCATTTTGTTTCTTCTTAGCTGTTGATGCTATCACCCTTTAAAATTGAAAGCAAGAAAATAAAAAGAATACAACATATCACATGATAGAACTTAATCCAAAAGAAACCTCAGCAAGATGCACAACTCATAAAAACATCAAGGAATAAGAGTAGCTTGCTTATCTTAGAATGCAACATTGAGCACTTGAATTGAGCTAATAGACCACGTAGACAAACAGTTGTAAACCCTACCAAAAATTCTTAACAGGATCTTCTTTAATGAGGCTCAGTACCAACATCTAGGTATTTCTACCCTGGCAGGGAAAGAAAACCTACAGATCTTAATTATCACCTCGTGTGACAAGAACCATAACTGTTCACCATCATGTCAATTGTTTTGTTTGCAGTGTATGGTGCTTGCAAGGGCATGTATTTCTTCTAGGCACTGGACTGAAAACTTACACAGCAAGTCAAGTTATATCACTATGAAATTTTTATAAAGTAGGAGGTTACCTGTCTCCTGAAAGTGCCAGACTAAAACTTTTTAGCAGTGGTTTAACCAAACACAAAATCTAAAGCTGGCTCAGTGGCTCAGGTGCATTTGCCTATAAATTAAGAGCTTGTGTGTTTCCACATATTCAAGTTTTGCTTTCCCCCCCTTCCTTAGAAAGAATTGTCTTTGATCATATCAACTATCAAGTATATGAGAATCAAATTTCATTCATACCTATGAAAAAAAGCAGCCTTATTTCTCAATTGTTTAAAACCAAAATTTGAAGTAAGCAGCATTAGTGAATCACTTGACTGTTCTTGTTTGTGTGGAGCGAGCCTCATTTATTAATTGCTGGATTGCCAAAGGTCTTATTAATCTGTAAACTACAATAAGTACAATTGACACATGAACCAAAAAGTTAACAAGGATATTTGTTCAAAATTTCAATTCCACCTATTCTTTGGAGTGGACATCAAAGTTTCAAATACTGATCACATAAAAGTTTGTAAAAGCAAGGCAGCAAAACAAAATTTAATCTTCTTTTCTGAGAATTGTCATAATAATAATTCAAGGACACTTCAACAGTTTTATTACTTTTCATTAGAAAATGCACCATTTCATGATTGGTGGTACATGCTAAATCTTTACTTAGTGTTTTATCAGATCAGCCAAAATCCTGAAACCAATAGTGGAATGGCCATATTGCTTGAGTTTCACCCTTAATACAAAAGGAACTTGTAAGGGCAAAAATTATAAGTAATTTCTGTTTGAGTAAATTTCAATTTAGTTGGTCCCTGATATATGGAATATTTTGGCCATGTCCTGAAACTATTTTTGTTTGCAATCATTCCAAAACTTTTGGACGCTTTTAATGCAATCGTATTATAACATTCATTTTTACAAAATTTAGTTAAATGTCCGACAGATATTTGATGTAAGGTAGGAGAAACCCCTTTATCCTTGGCTAACCTGAGTAACTAGCATGATTGGCAGAAATAAGCAACCAGTACCTCAGAATACATTCTTTGAGAACAAAGAAAATAAGTAATATTGTAGCAAGAAGAAGAAGAACTGATGCTGGTTGTATAATAAAACTTTGAATCCTGCTGCGCAATATATCCTTACCAAACCAGTGGTGTTAGAAATCAACTAAACAATCACATGTTAAAAAAATAGAAAACTACAGTTTGCTGTTCATTTAAATTTTAACCCCTGTTCTACAGACTTAGTATCTTCTGAGATAACTGAATCAGCCTTCTTGTCTGCACATGAAAAAGCTGCATTTACAGTATTAGTTTCAAAGCAGAAAGCCAAGCTTCACTTCAGAGAAAAGGGATAGAAGAATTAGCATGGATGGTCCGATATGTGAGATGAACTACAGACAGAAGGACAGATTTTGTGCAGGAAAGATGTATGATGTTTAGTATTCCAAAGTGCATTTAATCATTTTTACTAACTAAAGCTATGCAGCTAGGAAGTTCTCAACAATTCTTATTGCCAAAGCAATTTATGAAACGAATGTTTTCCTTTACGAAAGTCTAGAGCGATTAGTTCTTAAATTTGTCAGAAACAGTACTGCTTTCCTGTCATCCATACCTTGATGTTCCCTGAGCCATACCCTGCTCTTTTGACTATTAAAGTTAAATTTTCTGGAAACTTCACTAACCATTTCTGTGTTTACAAAATATATCAAATATTCATATTACCACATTATTTTTGTAACAAGTCAAGAGGTGTGGGTTTTACATAAATGCAGTAATGAATGTCATATTACAGTGAAAAATTCATTCAAGCCTCAGAAAACTTAAAGAATTTTTAACTTAAATGTAAACAATCCACTCCCTCACCAAGAGAGATATGAACCTTTTCATTCAACAATTTTTGATCTTGGAGTTTTTTAGCTGCTATAATACCAATTGTTGTTGGAGTGTCTGCACACATGACTATGTATGTACTCCTCCATAAAAGCATGACTCGTTTGACTTTCTAGTCCTTTTTATTGAAGTATCTTGAAGGTGAAAATTAACAACTAGCAACAACAATTTTTGGACCAGACTAATTGACATGTATCTAAAAAATATTTCATGTCCCATTTCCTAAAAAATATTATCTTTCAAAAGAGCACCTTTGCTTATGCACGGATGTATGAAACAATGGATGATGATCATTTTTGTTTGACATCTCCTGGTCCAGAAGGCTTCGCAATTTTTAGCGACAGACTTGAATCACTTGTAAGGAAATGAGTACAAAATGTTCAAATGCGTAAAAAAAGATTTTTTTTCCTCATCACTCAAGTTTGCCCTAATTAAAGCGTCCACACACAGCCTGCTACACACGCCGCAGCTGCCGCCGCTATAGGAACTCCCTCGGCCTCCTGCTCCCAGGCCTCTTGCCCTCATCGTCTGGGGGTGTCCCCGGGGTGCTGCTCGCGCTCGCGCTGCCCGCACTCGTCGTGCCCCCCGCTGCCCCCGCCCCGGGCTCGTCGGGAGTCCGCGCCTCGGTGGGCGTGTGCCGGGGCGGGGGAGGCGGTGGTGGGGCCGCGGCTGATCCCGGAGGAGGGCCGGGGATGGCGGGAGCCGCAGCTTTAGTCCGAGATTTACTCCGTCGCTTCTTGAGGATCACACTGCCCGGCGTGGGTGCCGTGAGGCTGAGCGGAGCACTGTCACTACCGGACGGACCAGCGGACGGACCTGCGCCCGGGGTCCCGGGCATGGAGGAGGCCTCGGTCGCACTGGCCTCCACGATAAGGGGCACCGGTAGCATCAGCGTCAGCGCCTGGGGGGTTGTGGCACGGGGGTGGGCGTCTGGCGCAGGGGCGGGGGTGGAGACAGGCGTGGGGGCCGGCGCGGGGGCGTGCGCCACCACCACGTTCTGCAGCTTAGAGGCAATGTCCGCGAGAATGTCCTCCATGCGCGACACCTTCTGATTGAGGCGCTGCACTTCCAGTTTAACGTCTACCTTGAAGTCCATGATGTTCCCTATCAACTCCTTGTACTGCACGCCCGAGATGGGTGAGGGGCCCTGCGCCAGACCCTGCGCCAACGCCTGGGCCGGCGCCCCCGCCTGGCCTCGCTGCAGGTCCCGCTCCTCCAGTTCAACCATCTCCTCGATGGTCTCTTGGCGAGTGATGGCGGGCAGCATCGCGACGGGGGGTCCCGGCCCCGTCCCGGCCCCCGGCCCCGAGCTTGGCGCCGCCACCTTCTGCAGCTTGGGGAACACCTTTAGACAAAGAGAGTGTGCGCAATGCGCATCAGGCGCCGTCAACCCAGCGTCCACAGTCGTAAGCCACGCATGTTTGCGGTATAATGACCTTGTTCCCGGAACCGGAGGCCGACGGCCCCGACGGCCCGCCGCCGCTGGACCCGGAGCCCGAACCACCGCCGGAGGAGCTCGAGCGCGCCGCCGCGCTCAGCGCTCCGGCCAGCCCGGAGGCAGACACTGCGCCCGCACCCGCACCGCCGCTGCAAAAGAACGAGCAGTTCAGGATCCTCATCCTCGTCAAGCGATGGGGCAGCCAATACAGAAGGGTGCCTCATTGGTTCATCCGCGCCGTTCTTTCTTCTGGTTAAACTGTACCGTGCGTGCGGGCTTGCCTATCGCGGCTCACCGAGGCGCTTACGGCCCCGCGTGCGATTATGCAACCCGCCCGAACGCCCGCTCCCAGTACAGTATAACAACTACAGGAAAGAACGACGCCCATACCGATGGGCCACCCTGTACTGAGTGGACGCGTCGCTAGCTTCGCTCACCTTGCCGACTCGCTGCCGGAGTCCAACGAGCTGGAGCCCAGCAGGCGGCCCCACTTGGAGGCGCGCGCGGGGCCGGGCCGCGCTGGCCGGGCCGCCACCACCGCCAGGGACGAGCCGCCGCCGGCGTCGCCGCCTCCCGCCGAGCCGCCCCCGCTCTCCGGCTCAGAGCTGTCCCTCTCTACGACGCTAGATAGCTGCTTCGTCAGCACCTGGAACAGGGATCGGTCGTTGGCGGGTCAAAACGGATGGACCAGGAGGAGGGCGCCGTTGGCACCGGCACGGGCAGACCAGGTCAGCCGGTGGCCCTGGAGCCGCCGGCCTGCGTCCGAAAACGGAATATCCGATGCTGCGCCCAACGCCGCGGCCCTGGGACTCTCGCATCTTTATCGCCCTTGTTCCGTCTTCGCACCGCTTTCGCACGCCCTCTCCCCTCTCTCCACTCACCGGCTTCACTCTCTCTCCCTCGCCGCCGCTTCCGCCGCCGCCGTCGCTGAGGGAGTCACCCCCTCTCTCCACATCTTGGCTGGGGGACTGTCGGAGAAAGGAAAAATGAGAATGAGGGGGTAAAAATGTTGGGCACGCAGAAAAATGGTAGGGTGCATTCGGGGAGGGGGAGGGGACGAGCTCGGCCTATGACGGTAGGTACGGTGAGGGTGGCGGTGAATGTCGTCTCTCTACTTAGGTACGTCGCAGGCACGCACACACATGCACACATACTCAGAAAGTCATTTCCTTGATTTGAAACTAAACGCGTTCTGGGTCAAGAGAACGTTTTGCAATTGAAATGGGAAGATTTTTCTTCAGGCAGTATAGATGTCTTTAATCTATAGATAAGCACCACAATGCTATTAGTCCCCGTTACGAACCCAGCATGTTCAGCCTCTTAAAAGATCTCCTAGCGCCTGCTAGGTAGGTAACACCTTGCCTGCACTGCATGCGGGAACTGCGGGATGGCCTGCCCGGAGTCTCGCAGGGGCACCGAGCTCCCGTAATTTGCCGAATGAATCTGAGCGAAACGGGCGTACTTTCTGGAAGTCACCGAAGATTACGCGAGGGAAAGTTGGGTGCGGGAATGTTATCTTGCCCGAATGGGGCGTCGCGTGCTCTGGCCTTCCGTCACTTTCGACGGGTTGGCCTACCCATCGCCTCGAAGGCATTCTGCCTATCGTGATGCGCCGCATCGGGATCATCTAGAAAGTACGTCCGTCATTCTCCGTCACGGAATGGTCGAGCTCAGTTAATGCTAGCTCTTAGCGCCTGATGGGTAGGCAACATCTAGCCTGCAAGGCATGCGTGTAGTGCGGGCTGGCCTAACCCGAGTATCGCAGGCGCCGAGCTGGGTCGTATTAATTCAGAAAGAAATTAAATCGTGAAATGCTTAGGGGGTCACACCTACAGGGTGGGGGAAGGAGGAGGGGCACTGACCGGCGCTGTCTGCTGGTGTGAGGCCCTGTCCCTCCGGAACTTGGAGAAGATCTTGCGGACAAGGTGGTCCTGGTTCTGGTCCAGCTGCGGCTCGTTCTTTCGCCTCTCCGCCAGCTCCTTCTCCCGCCGGACGTCCGCCACCTTGCGGAAAATAAGCTGCCGGCAGAGCCAAACCGTCGACAGGTTATATTACAGCAAAAATAAAATAAACAAAAAAAAGAAGGGAAACTCAAAAGAAAATGACTTTTGCTTTGTTTAAATATTTAAAAAGTCGGAAAACCGGAAAAAATTGCAGATGAAAGCGACAGAAAAAACACAGGAAAACAAACGCAAAAAATAAAATAAGTCATTTGTGTTTCCCTTTTACCTGATTTTTCACGGGGAAAAATGCAGGAAAAAAACTTTAATAACGGAAAATTGAAGTCTCTAATTTGGTTCTTGACCTCAACACTCACCCGGTGCCGAAGGTTGTACGTGAGCACCAAGTTCCTGGCGAATGAGTTAGCGAAGGCCTGGTAGAAGTCCAGCACCTCCAGTAGCTTGTCGCGCTTGATGGTGTGCAGGTCGCAGTAGGTGAGCGCGCGGACGTTGGCCGCTGACTGGCCCACGGCGGAGTCCTTCCAGAAGGAGTCGCCGAACACGTCGCCTTTGCCTGCAGAGTGGACGTGGTGAGTGTGGGGGCGGGGAGGATGGCGTCGGGGACGGGACGTCGGCGACAGCCCCCGACACTCACCCAGGATGGCGACCACCTCGTCGTCCTGGATGACCTCCAGCGACCCGGTGACGATAAAGCAGAGCGAGTCGATGGACTCGCCCGTGTGGTAGAGGAGGTCGCCCGGCGCCGAGTGCGACATGGTGAAGTGCATGGCCAGCGCGCGCAGGCAGCCGTCGCTCGCCAGGCGGAAGGCGGGGTGTTCGTTGAACACCTTGCGGTTGAGGTGCACGCAAATGTCGGCCTTCATGTCCTTGGGACAGTAGTTGAGGACCTGAGGGAGGCGGACAAGGCACAGGGGTACAGTAATGCATTGCGACACGGTCCTGCGCCTCGCCTGTCACGGGGCGGGCCGCTCTGCGAGCGAGAGGAAGAGAGAAAGAGGAAGAGATCTCTGTTCTACACAGCAGTGAATATGGAACAGAACTGGTGAGCCCTGCCCTCCTCCGCGGGTGCGCTACAGAGCGTGAGTGGACTAAAAACATTCTACCACGCGAGCTCTGCTCCGAGCCGCCACCAATAGGCTGCAGTTATAATTTAAGTACACTGTTAATGTCAACCTCTATAGTCAGTGCCGGTAAGCATTGTGAAGAAAATAACACCTCATAGAAATACAGATGAGTTAATGTACAACATTGTCGTGACTAAGAATATTCAAAAGTTCTACGAAACCAAGATATAGGCTGTATAGAAGTAGGCCCGTGTAAAAGTTATACAAAACAAATAGGAAAACAAAGAGACTCGGGTTTGAAAAGTCACAAACAATAATAGTAATAATTTTTGTTATCCGCCTAGGAAAGCGTCAGCGGAACCCGAGTCACCGCAGAGAGCTCGAGCTCCCTGCGACGAAAGCGATACTAAGCGACCAAGTAGTAGTTCTAGGGCGTAAGGGCGTTGCCCGCCGGCAGAAAGGCAACTTACACACCCGGCGCAAGTAATGAATAGTTCACAAAGAAAGAGAAAAGAGAGGAAAACAAGAGAGATTTGAGATTTCGAGGGAGAAAATGTTATTTTCTTCAGTTTGGCTCCTGACCTGGTTTACCTTATCCGTGTCCAACCCCTTGGTCATGGCCCATGTGGACACCACGTAGTCCATGACCCTTTCCGACAATCCCTTGGGCACTTCGTGTAGCTTCATGAACTCGCGCACGTTGTTGAGCATGTCGTGGTACTTGGCCGTGGCCGACGTCATCTGCTGGATAATGGTCGTCACGTGACCGAAGATGGTAGCGTACAGGAGTGCTGCCAACATGACAAACCAAGAAAAAAATTAATATCACACCACAATGAAAGACCCCCTGAGATTTGATCCTTTAGCTCACCGGCGATGATCATCATGCAGATGGTGAAGATCTTCTCGTTGTCCGTTTCGGCCGCCACGTTGCCGAAGCCCACGCTCGTCATGCACGTCATGGTGAAGTAGAGCGCGGTGACGTACATGGTCTTCCTGCTGGGCCCGTTGGTGAGCTCGGGCATGTTGGTCTCGTTGTTCCACGCGTAGAGGTAGGGCGACTGCGTCACGTTGGCCAGCTTCCACAGCCACGAGTACTGGATGCCGTTGTCCGCGTCCGACCGGCCTGCAACAGGAGCGGAGCCAGGGTCAGCACACATTTTTTTAAAGCTAAATTAGCTAATGCATTTGATAATTTGACCTTAGATAAGAATATTAGCTTGCCCAGCTGACTATCAGCTAAGAGAGCCAAAACAAATTAGCCATAACAGATGTCTAGAAAAAAAAAGCTGTGAGGTTGTGAAGGATAAAGTCTTGTCTCTCTTAGACAATAATTAGCTAAGCAAGTTGATATTCTGAGCTGAGGCAAAACTAGCAAATGTGTAAGCCACTTTTAACTCCCCGAGGCTTACGCGCCCCCTTCCCCCATTCATTATCCCCCTCGCAAGTGGAAGTTTCAACCGCAGACCGCAGTGCGAGGCGGAGGATGATTATTTCGCATCGTCAGAAAAGCTTTTTACTCTCTCTTTAAACCATGTCTCTTTTTCAACGAGTTTTCAGTGTGTGTTTTTTCTCTCCTCTTTGCTTTCGAATGGCACTGCGCGCGCGCGT